AAGGGCAGGTTGGAGGGGGCTTGGAGCAACCTGGTGTGGTGGGAGGTGTCCCTGCCCAGGGCAGGGGGTGGCACTGGGGGGGCTTTAAGGTCCCTTCCCACCCCAAACCATCTTGTGATCCTACGATTCTAAAATCCACCCAGATTTGTGGGACAAAGTGAGGTTTGGAAGGAGCTGCTCCAAACTGCACTTCTTTGGGAGCGAAATCAAAAATACCATGGGACTCCACCCATGGGGCTGCTCGGGAGCTGGAGCCCCAGCAGAGCCCGGCCCTGGAGTTACTGATTAAACAGCCGAGGAGCTGTTTGCAAACAGGCAGGTTGTGTGGCAGCTCTGCCCCGCGTCACTCCGGCTCCACCACAGGGAAAAGCTCCTGGTGGGGCTTCTGGAGGGGCAGAGGGGCTGGGGAAGGGATGGGTGCCCCGAGGGGATGGGGTGAAGGCAGGGGAGGGGAGGAAGGGACCCATAGGGAGGGGATGGGGTGGGTAGGAAGCTGGTGGCGGAGGTGAGATAAACCCTCTGAGAGTAAAAGGGTTTGTGTGAGCTGAGTTTGCCCGGCCTCAGTCCAGGTGCACGTCCAGGGAGGTGGAGAAAGCATCCCAGAGCAAACCCCTTCCCTGCCCAGCCAGGGGTAGAAGAAAATTTTGGATCCATTGGGGTGCTCCAAGCCCCACGTATGCCCTAAAAGTGGTTTTCTCAGCAAAGGGGAAAAAAAAACTCAAGTCACTTTACCCTCCAGCTCATATGATATTTTTGGTGTCGGCTTCTGGGTTTTGTCCCCTCTAAAAATAAAAAGAACAGATCGATATAACTGACTGTCACCCTTCCGGCTGAGCCGGAACCCGCTTTGCTCACCCCCTTTTTATTAGGTTTTGGGTGTTTTGTTTGGGGTTTTTTTGCAAAGATACTTGCTAAATTTGGCTGGACTGGGCTGGCAGGTCACATTTTTGAACCACAGCTGCTGTCACAGGTACCTGTGATGGGAAGTCACAGCCCCAGTCCTTCACCCCACGTTTCCAGGGGGGGCGAGGAACTGGTGATTGCTGGGGACACAGAGGTGTTGCTGTGGAGGTGCTGGGGACACAGAGGTGTTGCTCTGGGGGTGATGAGACACCAAGCTGTTGCTCTGGAGGTGATAGGGACACAAAGACATGGCTCTAGAGGGTACAAGGACACAGGGGTGGTGCTCTGGAGGTGACAAGGCCACAGAGAAATCATTCTGGAGGTGATGAGGACACCAAGCTATTGCTTTGGAGGTGATGGGGACGCAGAGGCATGGCTCTGGAGGTGACAAGGACACAGAAGTATTGCTGTGAAGGTCTTGGGGACCAAGAGCATTGCTCTGGAGGTGACAAGGGCACAGAGGAATTGTTCTAGAGGTGATGAGGATACCGAGCTATTGCTCTGGAGATGATGGGGACACAGAGCTGTTGCTCTGGAGGTGACAAGGACACAAGGCTCTGCTCAGAGGAGCTGGACTTGGGGCCCTGGTGGTACCTGGTGGCCATGCATGGCCGGGGGCTGTGGTGGGAAGGAGGGTCCCACTCTTTCTTTCCTTATTTTCCCTCCCTATCTCTGTCTCCATCCATCTTCATCCCTTCCCTCCCCAACCTACCCCGGAGTGTCCCCACTGTCCCCATCCCAATCCTGCCTCCCCTACCCCTATCCCCTGACCCTGTCCTCCACCCCTCAGGGTGACACCTCCCCCTGCCCTCTCAGTGTCCCCACGGTGTCTGTCCCACAGGGAAGGGATGCTCAGCCCCTAGCACCCCCGGCGTGGTGAGGATGTCGGCCATCCCCGAGGCGTTGGGGCGCCCCCGGAGCAGCTCCTCCCGCAGCCTGGCCGGGACGTTGGAGTCCACCCTGGGCATGGGCACCTTGGAGATGGAGAAGGAGCGCATCCTCAAGGTCTGCTTCTACAGCAACAGCTTCAACATGGGCAAGAACTTCAAGCTGGTGAAGTGCTCGGTGACGACGGAGATCCGGGTAAGTGGATGGGGCAGTGCCTGAGGACATGTTCTTGCTCCAGGGGCATTTCTGCATTTTCTCCTTGCTTTCCTGCTGCCTAAAGCTCCCCTGGAGCCTGGCTGGGGATGCTCAGGTCTCAGCCCTGCTTCTTCCCACCCCAGGAGGTGATCAGGTCCATCCTGGTGAGCGGCCGCATCGGGCCCGACATCAAGTTGGCCGAGTGCTACGGGCTGCGCCTGAAGCACGTCAAGTCAGATGAGATCCACTGGCTGCACCCGGACCTGACGGTGGGCGAGGTGCAGGAGAAGTACGAGTGCCTGCACCTGGAGGCCGAGTGGAGGTAGGACCCCATGGTGGTGGTGTCTGTCCCTCTCCGTGTCCCCAAAACCCACCCAGGGCAGGGAGCACCGAGTCCCGTTAGAAGGAAAGCTCCTCCAGCGTGGGCTTCCACCTGGAGGCTGAGTGGAGGTAGGACCCCATGGTGGTGGTGGTGGTGTCTGTCCCTCTCCGGGTCCCCAAAACCCACCCAGGGCAGGGAGCACCGAGCCCCGTTAGAGGGAAAGCTCCTCCAGCGTGGGCTTCATCCAGGGGTTCTCCTCTTGCCAGGTACGACACCGAGCCCTGTTAGAGGGAAAGCTCCTCCAGCATGGGCCTCATCCAGGGGTTCTCCTCTTGCCAGGTACGATCTCCAAATCCGCTATCTGCCGGAGGATTTCATAGAGCGCTTCCAAGAGGACAGGACCACCTTGCTCTACTTCTACCAGCAGGTCAGAAGTTGCCCCAGAGCTCTCCTGGCCCCAGCCAGCTCTGCTCTCCAGCCACCCTCACCCACCCCCCAGCTCCAGGAGGGAGTTTCCTCCTCCCCAGCCCAGAAAACATGCTTCCCAGGAGCCCCAAGAGCATTTACCTTCACCCTTGGCTGCTGAACACCCTCAGCCCCTGTGGCCCATCCTGCTGCTGGGTCTGTGCAGCTCCATTAGGGACAGCTGCTCCCAATCCCAGTGTGGGATGTGGGAGGGCATGGACCCTGTGACCATCCCCTGCCACCATCCCCTGCCAGAACCCCCCTGGGAGCATCCTCTGTGAGGATCCCTTGCAAGCATCCCCTGCCTGCATCCCCCATGAGCATCCCCTGCCAGAATCCCATGCGAGCATCTTCTGCCAGCATCCCCTGGGAGCTTCTTTGAGCAACCCCCCCAGCATCCCTTGCAAACATCCCCTGCCAGTATTGCCTGGGACATCCCCTGCCAGCGTCCCAGCAAGCACCCCCTGTCAGCATCCCGTATGAGCATCCCCTGCCAGCATCTCTTATGAGCATCCCATATCAGCACCCTCTTCCACCATCCCCTGTCAGCATCCCATACGAGCATCCCCTGCCAGAATCCCTGCAAACTTCCCCTGCCTGCATCCCCTGCGAGCATCCCATATGAGCATCCCCTGCTAGAATCCCTGCAAACATCCCTTGTAAACATCCCCTGTCAGAATCTGTGCAAACATCCCCTACCTGCATCCCCTACGAGCTTCTTCCAGCAAACCTCTGAGCATCCCTAGCAAGAAACCCCTGCCAGCATCCTCTGCGAGCGTCTCCTGAGAGCATCCCCTGCAAGCATCCTCTGCGAGCAACCCTGCCAGCATCCCATACAAGCATCCCCTGCCTGTAGCCCCTGCCAGAATCCGTGCAAACATCCCCTACCTGCATCCCTGTGAGCATCCCCTGCCAGAATCCCTGCCTGCATCCCCTGCCTGCAAGCATCTCCTCTGAGCATCCTGTACAGGCATCCCCTGCCAGAATCCCTGCAAATGTCCCCTGTGAGCATCCCAGATGAGCATCCCCTGCGAGCTTCTTCGAGCAAACCTCTGAGCATCCCTTGCAAGAAACCCCTGCTAGTATCTCCTGAGAGCATCCCCTGCCTGCATCCCCTGTGAGCAACCCTGCCAGCATCTCATACAAGCATCCCCTGCAAACATCCCCTGCCTGTAGCCCCTGCCAGAATCCATGCAAACATCCCCTACCTGCATCCCTGTGAGCATCCCCTGCCAGAATCCCTGCCTGCATCCCCTGCAAGCATCTCCTCTGAGCATCCTGTACAAGCATCCCCTGCCAGAATCCCTGCAGATGTCCCCTGCAAACATCCCAGATGAGCATCCCCTTAGAGCTTCTTCGAGCAAATCTGAGCATCCCTTGCAAGAAACCCCTGCCAGCATCCTCTGCTAGCATCTCCTGAGAGCATCCCCTGCCTGCATCCCCTGCGAACATCCCCTGCCTGTAGCCCCTGCCAGAATCCGTGCAAACATCCCCTACCTGCATCCCTGCAAGCAGGCCCTGCCTGCATCCCCTGCAAGCATCCTCTGCGAGCAACCCTGCCAGCATCCCATACAAGCATCCCCTGCAAACATCCCCTGCCTGTAGCCACTGCCAGAATCTGTGCAAACATCCCCTACCTGCATCCCTGTGAGCATCCCCTGCCAGAATCCCTGCCTGCATCCCCTGCAAGCATCTCCTCTGAGCATCCTGTACAGGCATCCCCTGCCAGAATCCCCACAGATGTCCCCTGCGAGCATCCCATATGAGCATCCCCTGCTAGAATCCCTGCAAACATCCCTTGTAAACATCCCCTGTCAGAATCTGTGCAAACATCCCCTACCTGCATCCCCTACGAGCTTCTTCCAGCAAACCTCTGAGCATCCCTAGCAAGAAACCCCTGCCAGCATCCTCTGCGAGCGTCTCCTGAGAGCATCCCCTGCAAGCATCCTCTGCGAGCAACCCTGCCAGCATCCCATACAAGCATCCCCTGCCTGTAGCCCCTGCCAGAATCCGTGCAAACATCCCCTACCTGCATCCCTGTGAGCATCCCCTGCCAGAATCCCTGCCTGCATCCCCTGCCTGCAAGCATCTCCTCTGAGCATCCTGTACAGGCATCCCCTGCCAGAATCCCTGCAAATGTCCCCTGTGAGCATCCCAGATGAGCATCCCCTGCGAGCTTCTTCGAGCAAACCTCTGAGCATCCCTTGCAAGAAACCCCTGCCAGCATCCTCTGCTAGCATCTCCTGAGAGCATCCCCTGCAAGCATCCTCTGTGAACAACCCTGCCAGCATCTCATACAAGCATCCCCTGCCTGTAGCCCCTGCCAGAATCCGTGCAAACATCCCCTACCTGCATCCCTGCAAGCAGGCCCTGCCTGCATCCCCTGCAAGCATCCTCTGCGAGCAACCCTGCCAGCATCCCATACAAGCATCCCCTGCAAACATCCCCTGCCTGTAGCCACTGCCAGAATCTGTGCAAACATCCCCTACCTGCATCCCTGTGAGCATCCCCTGCCAGAATCCCTGCCTGCATCCCCTGCAAGCATCTCCTCTGAGCATCCTGTACGAGTATCCCCTGTGAGCATCCATATGAGCATCCCCTGCGAGCTTCTTCCAGCAAACCTCTGAGCATCCCTTGCAAACATCCCCTGCCCGCCTTCCCTGCCAGCATCCTCCGTCCCCATCCCCTGCCCCCACCCCCCACCAGCATCAACTTCCCCTGCCTGCATCCCCTGCGAGCATCCCATATGAGCATCCCCTGCTAGAATCCCTGCAAACATCCCTTGTAAACATCCCCTGTCAGAATCTGTGCAAACATCCCCTCCCTGCATCCCCTCCGAGCTTCTTCCAGCAAACCTCTGAGCATCCCTAGCAAGAAACCCCTGCCAGAAACAACTACTAGTATCTCCTGAGAGCATCCCCTGCAAGCATCCTCTGCGAGCAACCCTGCCAGCATCCCATACAAGCATCCCCTGCCTGTAGCCCCTGCCAGAATCCGTGCAAACATCCCCTACCTGCATCCCTGTGAGCATCCCCTGCCAGAATCCCTGCCTGCATCCCCTGCCTGCAAGCATCTCCTCTGAGCATCCTGTACAGGCATCCCCTGCCAGAATCCCTGCAAATGTCCCCTGTGAGCATCCCAGATGAGCATCCCCTGCGAGCTTCTTCGAGCAAACCTCTGAGCATCCCTTGCAAGAAACCCCTGCTAGTATCTCCTGAGAGCATCCCCTGCCTGCATCCCCTGTGAGCAACCCTGCCAGCATCTCATACAAGCATCCCCTGCAAACATCCCCTGCCTGTAGCCCCTGCCAGAATCCATGCAAACATCCCCTACCTGCATCCCTGTGAGCATCCCCTGCCAGAATCCCTGCCTGCATCCCCTGCAAGCATCTCCTCTGAGCATCCTGTACAAGCATCCCCTGCCAGAATCCCTGCAGATGTCCCCTGCAAACATCCCAGATGAGCATCCCCTTAGAGCTTCTTCGAGCAAATCTGAGCATCCCTTGCAAGAAACCCCTGCCAGCATCCTCTGCTAGCATCTCCTGAGAGCATCCCCTGCCTGCATCCCCTGCGAACATCCCCTGCCTGTAGCCCCTGCCAGAATCCGTGCAAACATCCCCTACCTGCATCCCTGCAAGCAGGCCTTGTGAGCATCTCCTGCCAGAATCCCTGCCTGCATCCCCTGCCAGTACCTCCTCTGAGCATCCTGTACGAGTATCCCCTGTGAGCATCCATATGAGCATCCCCTGCGAGCTTCTTCCAGCAAACCTCTGAGCATCCCTTGCAAACATCCCCTGCCCGCCTTCCCTGCCAGCATCCTCCGTCCCCATCCCCTGCCCCCACCCCCCACCAGCATCCCCTCCACCTCCTGACCCCCCCGTGTCTCCCCACAGCTCCGGAGGCATCCCATATGAGCATCCCCTACGAGCTTCTTTGAGCAAACCTCTGAGCATCCCTTGCAAGAATCCCCTGCCTGCATCCTCTGCGAGCGTCTCCTGAGAGCATCCCCTGCCTGCATCCCCTGCCTGCATCCCCTGCCTGCATCCCCTGCCTGCATCCCCTGCCTGCATCCCCTGCCTGCATCCCCTGCCTGCATCCCCTGCCTGCATCCCTGCCTGCATCCCCTGCAAGCATCTCCTCTGAGCATCCTGAACAAGCATCCCCTGCCAGAATCCCTGCAAATGTCCCCTGTGAGCATCCCAGATGAGCATCCCCTGCGAGCTTCTTTGAGCAAACCTCTGAGCATCCCTTGCAAGAAACCCCTGCTAGTATCTCCTGAGAGCATCCCCTGCCTGCATCCCCTGTGAGCAACCCTGCCAGCATCTCATACAAGCATCCCCTGCAAACATCCCCTGCCTGTAGCCCCTGCCAGAATCCATGCAAACATCCCCTACCTGCATCCCTGTGAGCATCCCCTGCCAGAATCCCTGCCTGCATCCCCTGCAAGCATCTCCTCTGAGCATCCTGTACAAGCATCCCCTGCCAGAATCCCTGCAGATGTCCCCTGCAAACATCCCAGATGAGCATCCCCTTAGAGCTTCTTCGAGCAAATCTGAGCATCCCTTGCAAGAAACCCCTGCCAGCATCCTCTGCTAGCATCTCCTGAGAGCATCCCCTGCCTGCATCCCCTGCGAACATCCCCTGCCTGTAGCCCCTGCCAGAATCCGTGCAAACATCCCCTACCTGCATCCCTGCAAGCAGGCCTTGTGAGCATCCCCTGCCAGAATCCCTGCCTGCATCCCCTGCAAGTACCTCCTCTGAGCATCCTGTACGAGTATCCCCTGTGAGCATCCATATGAGCATCCCCTGCGAGCTTCTTCCAGCAAACCTCTGAGCATCCCTTGCAAACATCCCCTGCCCGCCTTCCCTGCCAGCATCCTCCGTCCCCATCCCCTGCCCCCACCCCCCAGCAGCATCCCCTCCACCTCCTGACCCCCC